GGAGCCCGATGTGGGACTCGATCCCGGGACTCCAGGATCATGACCTGAGCCGAAGGCAGTCGCTTAACCAACTGAGCCACCCAGGCGCCCTGACCCTGCAACTTTTATTTTTCTGCCTTGATCCCCCCAAAAAAGCCAACAACAATTTTCCTTCACATGCAAGGATCCCAATTTATATTCACTATATTGCCAAAGGGTTACTTAAATTCACCAGCTTAGTGGTATAAGGCAGTTAGAAGGGACACACTATTTTGATGATACCATAAGATCACAAACTAAAGATAAAGGTACGACTGACTTAAATGCAAGAAGGACATATATGATCAAAAGAAGCTGTTAATAAATCCACCAGGTCCAAGGACCTGCCCAAACTGGTAAAATTCTTAGCAATAACCTAGTCAGGTACAAACCTTGACATTTCACAGGTAAAGAAAAATAAATTGTTTTTGCCACCTATCCCTAAAACTAAACAAGAAGCCCAACGTTTGGTGGTATATTTGAATTCTGAAGGACACGTGTTCCACATCTGGGAATATTAGTAGCACCAATCAATACAACTATCTAAAAGAAGGCTGTATTTGAATGGGATCCTGAACAAAGGTAGGCCATGTCTCAATTGCAAAAAGTAGCCTGTCTCCCGATGCTCTCGGGCCCCTATGATACACAGTTGGACATGATTTGGGGACTGTCAGCAACACATATTTATGTGGACTAGAGCTTATGGCAAAAGCCAATGAGTGCCACTAAGCAACAACCATTGGGATTTTGGACCAGAAAATTCTGGATACCATGCTAAAATATATGCCACTTGAGAGAAAATTACTAACTTGCTGTTGGGCATTAAGTGAGACTGACTCTATGACTGAAGGACATAATATAACTCTGCAACATGAAACACACACAATGTCTTGGGCAACAGAGAACATTCTAGTAAGGAAGGCAGTGCCCATGGAGCCTGGATAGCTCAGTCGGCTAAGTGTCTGCCTTCAGCTCAGGTCATGATCCCAGGGTCCTGGGATCGAGCCCCGCATCTGGCTCCCTGCTTGGTAGCGAGTCTGCTTCTCCCTCTCCCTCTGCCACTTGCCCTGCTTGTGGTCTCCCTTTCTCTCTCAAATAAATAAAAGGAAGGCAGTGCCTAGAAGAATTCTGTACAAAATAGAAATGGTTTGTTCAGGAACATATGACCAGCAGGATGCTAAGAGTTATTTATTGTATTTATGAGCAAATACCCCCTTTTTCCCCTAATGATGACTTTAAAACCACTCAAGGAGCTGCCGAATCCTAGAATCATATGGGCAGTGCCCTATGAACAGCTAGCTCTCTGAGAACCAAAAAACAACTGCTTGGTTGTCAACTACACTTCAAAACTGAATGAACTAATAAATTTAAATTTAAGAGATAGAGAAGGGATGCAAACTATTTGGTTCATGGATAACAGTTCCAAGGTGAACAGACAGCATCCTGTTTAGAAGGCTCTAAATTGGAGATGGTAATAAATCATATCGATGAGCTGAACTGCACGCTATTTTCCCATCAGGGTTTTCACTGAACTCTCTGCAGTTGATGTCAGAAATGAAGGTAGTCTTGTGGGCTGTTTCCTAACTTTGTACAGATGATGAAGAGAAAGACTAGTATGACTCAATAATGTAAGCTATATTGAACACTTGAAACTTTAGCTATGGGGCAACCACTGAAAGGTATTTTAAAAGGGGAGTGAGGGGTGAGGAGGGACTCTATTTTAGCAAAATAATCCTGGCAGCAATGTGGACAGAATGAATTTGACAAGGTAAAACTCAGAGCAGGGAGATCAACTCTAAGTGTGTTGTAGTAATAGGAACCTAGGGTTTTAAAGTGCAGTGACAGGGGCTCCTGCGTGGCTCAGTCAGTTAAGCGTCCAACTCTTGATTTCAGCTCAGGTCATGAGTTCAGGGTCATGAGATCAAGTCCCATGTCAGGCTCTCTACTGGCTGGGCATGGAGCCTGCTTGAGATTCTTTCTCCCCCTCTCCCTCCCATTCATTCATTCAGAGATAGATAGATAGATAGATAGATAGATCAATAGATAGATAGATAGATGAAAGAAAGAAAGAAACAAATAGTGCAATAACATGAGTTCTGTAAGTCTATCCTGGAAAAAATACAGTGTGGGCTAAAGAAAAGACAGAAAACATTCAAGAGATAATTAGGACTTGAAACTAAGTGGCAAAGGAAAATGGTAAGGGAAAAAGAACGATCAAGCAGGGTTAAACTCTGAGGGAAGGACAGTTGAAGCTATTCTTTCATGGCAAAAAGGATGCCATCTTCCTTCTCTTTTTGCTCCTCACCAACAATTTAAAAAGCGTAAGTAACCCAAATGCTCAAAGATCTGACTGACTGTAGCTGTGAGAATGATGATCTAATGTCTTATTGAGATTATTACAAAATAATCAATGGTAAAATTTGGCCCTAAGGTAAAGGCATCTGCAAGATTAGTCACTTCAAGTGAAACATTAGCCAACTTACAGGTAGGATGAAACATTTGGGAACAAATTAAGGTTACAAAAGTTTACAGTAGCAATTCTAAACAAATGTTCTATAGAACAGTAAAAAAGAACAAAGATCATTACTTTTATGTGGTCAAGTTTGAGAGAGTCCATATACTGTCTGTATCTATATACTATATGGAAGAAAATGAGTATACAGGCTTAAAATAGATCCAACTGCCTATATTCAAACCCAGGCTCTACTACTTAGGGTGAGACCCTATACAGATTACTAAAGCTTTCTGTAAGTACGCTCCCTCACCTTTAAAACAGTCATACCAGTACTAACACTTCATGGATACCTGGTGTGAATTAAACAAACATGCTGCATTCAGAAAAGTGCCTCACACAAACTACGAATGCAGTAATTGTTAGCTATTAGGATTAATGTATTCCCTCTTTAAGAGGATTCTAACAAATTTCAATGAACTTAAGGAATTAAAAGCACTAAGACATCCTACTGTTAAGAAACACATTTAAATGTGGTTAATCCAACTTAACCTACTCTTCTTTGGCAGGAGATTCATAAAACCTATTTCCATCAAATTAGCAGAAGTATTTTAAGAACACTTTAGAAAAGGCTGGACTATGGGTAAGCAAGACCATCTTTTAAACTATAATACAATTTAATAGAAACTTGGAAATTTGCTGGAAGACTGTTATACTCCTGACTAGAAATTTTAGTACATTTCCAGAAGAGTTCAAATGTAATAGACTGGTTATAAGTGAATACTACTGAATTCTGAGGGTACAGTGGGGTTGAAATAGAAAGCTATGTATTAAAAAATTAGTAACTATGCTTGCTTAGGTAACTTACACAGTTTGTAGAAAAACAAGGGATTTATACTGAACATGAAATAGTACAGTTATGCTTTGATGTTAAAATGTGTATCAGCCATGCCTGCAGGAATATTACTTTTTTAGATTACAGCTTAGAGCCTAAATAACCACAGTATACTTGAAAAAAGCTTATCTGAACCAGAAGCACAGCAAATAAATAATGTAACTCCTTTCTTGCAAACCCAAATGTAATGATACATTTTTAACAAGTATTCATAAGATAATTAGATATGAATGTGGAAACCATTAAATAATTCATCAAAAACATATCTTGCTTTAAGAAATAAAATATATGAAACTGAGAAGATGCTAACAAAATTATGGATTAAATAAGAATAATAATTTTACAAAACATTTTGAGGATTTCTTGTTATGCAATTATGACTTCTGTACCTATGTTCTTTGTGTTCCAATAGCTGACAGTCTCTACATGTCAATCTATCACATGTTTCACAGAAAAGCTTCAATTGTTCTTGTTTGTGTACAGGGCAGAAAACAGGGCGCTGACCAGATGCTCCAACAGATTCTGCAGTAAAATAAAACATACACTTTTTATACTAAAAATTGTTATTTAACTTCTAAATTCCCATTAATATTGATGTCCAAAACATATGAAGAATAAATAAAAATGTTATGAGGTAAAAGAGAGAGATTAATAGTATATTAATCATTAAAACCGTTTATCTTACCTGAGACATCTTCTTTCTTCCTGATCAAGTGATCTTTAGTGAATTTTACTCTTTGATGTGCTTCAATACATGTCTTACATAGCCACTCTCCACATTCTACACAAAAGCCAACTGCACTTGCATTGTCTTCACAACTAGTACATACCTAAAAGAGGAAATAATCTACATCAAGTTTACAAAATATAAATCCACAAAATAAACTTTCTGACTTGCTCTCAAATATACTAAATGATTAGAATAAAATTATTTTGTTATCCATTTATCTTCAATAAAATCCTGTTCCTTCCAAATCAAACATTCAAGTGAGTAAAAATCTAAGTCTGAGAACACAAAAACTATATTCAAGATTTGAATTTTTAAGAATAACTTTTCAGGGGCGCCTGGGTGGCTCAGTTGGTTAAGCGACTGCCTTCGGCTCAGGTCATGATCCTGGAGTCCCGGGATGGAGTCCCGCATCGGGCTCCCTGCTCAGCAGGGAGTCTGCTTCTCCCTCTGACCCTCTTCCCTCTTGTGCTCTCTCTCTCTCATTCTCTCTCTCTCAAATAAATAAATAAAATCTTTAAAAAAAAAAAAGAATAACTTTTCATCTCATTTAATTAGATATGAGGATATAGAATAAAGAGCCTTTATTTTCAATTGGAAAAATAGAACTATACCTGAACTACCCTAAATTATGTAACTATCCAAACATATTTTTCTTATTATTTACATTTCAATATCAAGATAAGAATATAAAGAAAGCATACCTGTTCTGATTTCTCATCAGAACTGCTAGGAGCTTCAGATGTATCTTTCACAAAATAATTATCCACAAGGTCTATCTGTCTGCATTCTTGGCGGCATACTGGGCACCGTATTACACCAACTACAACACAAAACAACAACATTAAAAATTATTCCTCGGGAAAAAAATAAGGGAATTGTGCATGATGCCCATATGGAAAGCATTCATTCATATGTCACAGACAAGATAAAAAAAAATGAAGAACATTAAGAGCTCAGTAAAATAATCCACTGAGTTATTCCATTGGGGGAAAATGATATCCTATTTAGGAAGAGAAAACAAGCATTTATACAAAAAAAAAAAAAACCTCTAAAAGTGTTTATTACAACGTATTAGTCAAATAATGGCTCCCAAAGATATTCAGATCTTATTCCTTGGAACCTGTCAGTGTCACTTTATAGAGCGAAGGTGACTTTGCAGATATGATTAAATTAAGGCTCTTGAGATGCTGTCCTGGATTACTTGATGGGCCCTAAATGTCATCTTGTAAGAGGGAGACAGAGGAAGGTTAGGTTAAAAAAAAGGAGAAGGGGGCGAACAATGGAAGCAGAGATGGGAGTCATGTACTTCGAGGATGAAGCAATAAACTAAGAAATACAAGTGGCCACTATAAGCTGAAAAAGACAAGGAAATGGATTTTCTCCTCAGAGCCTCTAGAAGGAACCAGACCTGACTACACTTTGACTCTAGCAGACATCCTGACTGTAGCGCAGTAAAACTGACAACAGTAAAAGATTAAAATGTGCATTATTTTAAGCCACCAAATTAATGGCAATTTTGTTACAGCAGCAATGAAAATGCACAATCTATCATCTAATAAATTCTGATTTGGTTCAGAACTACCTGAATTCACTTTCATGTGGGAAGAAAGATCACATGTGCCTGAACCTCCTAGTGATCTAGCAGATATAAGAAATAAAGCTATGGAAGTTAAAAACTAAAAAAACAGCAACACAGTGAACACAGCAAACGAACTACTATGTGTCAGCCATAAAACTGAGAATATAGCATAAACGATACAATCCTTACTTTCAAGAAAGGGTTCAAGACTAGTATGTAATTTTTAAAGTTTATACCATGTACAACTATAGGAAGCACTGTACATAGACTAGGATATAAACAGAATCCCCAAGAGTTTTAAGTATACAAATTATAGAACCTTATATAGTAGTTCCAATGGAAAATAGAAACTTAAATACAGTGTCATTCTAAAAGTAGGAATATCAGGGGGCATCTAGGTGGTTCAGTCCACTGGGCATTCCAACTCTTGATTTCCACTCAGGTCATGATCTCAGGGTCATGAGGTCAGACCTGCATTGGCTCCGTGCTGAGCACGGAGCCTGCTTGAGATTCTCTCCTCCTCTCCCTCTGCCCCACTCCCTTACCCCACCCCCACTCATGTGCACACACACTCTAAATAAGTTAATTAATTTAAGTAGGAATATCAGTCTTTGTTTGTTTTTATAATACAAAGTACAAAGATGCTGCTCAAAGGAAATACATAAAAATAATTTTTCAAATCAAAGGAAGAAACACTATGGGAAAGAGAAAAGAGGAAAAGGTATATAAATATTTCCATGTTTGAGATGGCACTGAGTTACAAACCTTTCAAGAAACACAGAGTATAATAAAACTACAAAGGAGATAAGTAATTGTAGGAGCAAAATTATGGGAGCAACTAACTTCTTACAATAAATTAAGCTTTCGCTGAAGAGATCACACTTAAACATGGTCTTGAAAAATTAACATTCATCTACTAGTGTGCAGGAAAGTTTACTTTGCTGACCTTGGTTCTTCAAATCTGTACGTTCCTAAGGAAGGCCTATCTCCAGTACTAGTCCTCAAATGGCTCCCGTGACATGACCTCTAACTCTTGGAATATTCTACCTGATAAAACTGTTTTTGTATGCCTGAGGCCTTGGGCCATGCTGTATTCAGTTTGACCTCTGAGGGTGGCTGGAGTCTCAGTAGGTGGTGTGAGTTCTACAGAGAATGCACCCCTTTATGACCATTCCCCAATAAAAACCTAGACATGGAGGTTCAGGTAAGCTTTCCTGGTTGGCAATACTCCTGCATACTGTCAGACATAGTTACTCTAAAACTAAGCATCCCCCTGTGCAACTCCACTGAAAGGAGACATCTGAAAGCTTGTGCCTATTTTCTCCTGGACTTCACACCAAGCACCTTTGCTAATTTTAATCTATTTCTTTTCTCCTTCTAATAAATGAAATCATGAGGGTAAACGTTTTTCTGTATCAATCCTAACAGTCAATCACTGAGCCTGAGGGTGACTCCAAACTCAACTAGGAAAGGAACAGTATACAAACCAAGAACAGAAAGTGCAAAGTTCACACATGAAAAAAAAAAAGGCTATAAAAAAATGGAGGGCGCCTGGGTGGCTCAGTTGGTTAAGCGACTGCCTTCGGCTCAGGTCATGATCCTGGAATCCCAGGATCGAGTCCGCGTCGGCCTCCCTGCTCAGCGGGGAGTCTGCTTCTCCCTCTGACCCTCCCCCCCCATACTCTCTATCTCATTCTCTCAAATAAATAAATAAAATCTTTAAAAAAAAAATGGAAAAATGTCCACATATACATATGTAAAATATTGAGAAAGTTAAGAAATTTGCAGCATCTAAATGAAGGAATATTTTTGTTGAAGGATACAAAAGATGGAGAGATAGTCTGTTCTGAGCAAGAAACAATATTATAAAAGTGTTCATTATACCTGTGTAAATGATAATTTGATGCAAGTCTTTGTTTTTTTGAACCCAATAAACTGATTCTCAGATTCTTAAAATTACTTCAATCTGGCAAGCAGACATCCCAGTTATGACAACAAAAATTCATCTATTATCCCATTAAAATAATATTATCCCATTAAAATAATAGTAAGGAATTTGGAAGATAAAAACAATATCCAAAAATCTTAAGGCAAAGGAAGGAGCAAAGCACACAAATCAGTATACATGCAATTTTAAGAAATGTAAAAGCAAAATAATACGAACAATGCAAAAGAAACCCAACCCAGAGTACACAAGGTATGGAAACATACACCTCAGAAAGACTCTTATTTTCCGTAAATATTTTCCTGTGTCAATGGAGAGGCACTCTTGAAGCTTGGAATTCAGAAATTTAAGGCATGAAAGAAGTTCCAATGAGAAGGAATAAGTTCAGGTCTATAGGTATCAGCAAACCCCATTCCTAAACTGACTACTTACACCTGACAGATTACCCAGCAGCCAAGGTATCTTACCACTAAAACAAAAAGAGTTGAAGCTTCTTCAGGGATCTTTTTGCTATCTGCTTCTGTATTTATTCAATAAATTTAAAAATTACATAAATGTTTACTTTGAAAATAAGAGCCATTTTCCATTTGAATTTATGAGTAAGTATACCCTTATAATTAGGGTATTAGATCAGGTGAGTGTGCTCCTGACTCAATCACTGAGTGCTGGTTGTCATGCTGAGTTTGGATCATTATTCAAAACTAAAACCAAACTCCAAAGCCAAAACTGCTGACCAACTTTATGCATAATACCCTAGAAAAGATTTCATTACTTCAAAGTTCAAGTTCTGGGAGACCCATCCAGGCCTATAAGATTATTCTTAAATGCCAATTTACTAAAATGTATAATTATGGGGGACATAGGGGAGGACTCTTTTATAAAGCCAGAAGTCTATAAAAGTAGCTTATCTCCACAGTGTTAAGTGAAATTTAGTTTCAGTAAGTTGACTGGTGTGAACTTCCATTCATGATGACTAAGCAGATATGGAAAGACCACCTGAAATGTCTAAACACAGAAATAACTAAAATATAAAAAATTAAAATGTACTTTGAAAAATATATAACTGAGTCCCCAACCTAAAGACAAAACCAAAGTAGCAGAAACAAAAGGGAACTCAAAGCTCAAGTGGCCTGGTATCAGCTGATGCAAATGGATCACAGGGGTTTTAAGTACCACTACCAGGAATAGGAAGTAAGACCAAGGTTAAAAGGTGAACCTGAACTCCTTCAATAAAGCTATGGGGCAGGCTTTAAGTCCCCTACAATCTAAAATTTTTACCAACACTAGAGTCACCCACAAGAAGTCAGAGCACCAAACAAGCTTCATGCATAGATATATAAGCAAAGTTTGTGCTATCTGCATGGTACACAGAAAGGCCAAGTCAAGAAACTAGTAAGAAGCTTCCAGGTTGGTGAACTCATGGAGATTAAGGGAGAGGCACTCTTGAGAGCATGGAAGCTCTGCACTCCTTCCCACATACACTGCCCTATGCATCTCTTCCTTCTAGCTATTTCCGTGTTATAACATTTTATAACAAACTGGAAATCTATCTAGTGCTGGATGACTATGGGGAAGTTCATGATGCAACCTCCAGCCCTGCACTCTCATGCCCTGGCCCCAGTTTTCCTGAGACTTCAGAAACTGAATGGAAAATTGGGAATAAATCTACCATGAATAAGTAACCCAAGGAATCCAGTCCAACATACTACTCTGGTCATCCTCCTCAGGGCTAAAGTCAACATTTCTCTTCTGCTCTCTCTATCCTAAATTCTTTTTTTTTTTTTAAGATTTATTATTTTAGAGCAAGAGAGAGCATGGGGGGAGGGGCAGACGAAGAGGGAAAGAACTCACACCACCTACTGAGACTCCAGCCACCCCCAGAGGTCTCCCCGCTGAGCATGGAGCCCAACATGGGGTGATCTCACCACCCTGAAATCATGACCTGAGCCGAAGTCAAGAGTCAGATGCTTAACCAACTGAGCCACCCAAGTGTCCCCACAACTAAGTTCAAGTTATTTAAAACCCCTTCTTTGGGACACCTGGGTGGCTCAGCTGGTTAAGTGCCTTCGGCTCAGGTCATGATCCCAGGGTCCTAGGATCAAGTCCCTGCTTCTCTCTCTACCTGCCGCTCTCCCTGCTTGTGCATTCTCTCTCTGACAAATAAATAAAATCTTTTTTATATTAAAAAATAAAACCACTTCTTTAATCAACCCAGAACTCCAAACAAAATGTCCATAAAACAAAAGTTATATCTTTGCCTCATCTCTACTTCTCTTCCTGGGATTCCTATTTATTT